GTGAGCCTCTGGTCTCAATATAAACAATGGCTGTTTAACACTCCATCCTATTGACGTTACTGGCCGACATTGTCCAGAATGATAGGAGCTAAATTTGCTCCACACGTCTCGGAGGTGACACAACAATGGCTGCCCTCCTTCCCCACTGACGCCTGGCCTACTTTGTCCAGATTTCAGAAAGTGATAGAAGGGTCACATTTACTCTACTTTAATATTGATAATTAAGTTAATTTATATAAGATGTTTTTATGATGGTAAAGTCCAAAGACTAATGTATTTAAGAATAATTCCCAGCAGAATAGCTGGTGAATTATAATAGTATGTGGTGATGATATCCCGTTTTCTATAGACGGTAATTCCACTACAAGTTACGTTTTCTATGGGTAACTTGTTGGTAATACAGCTATTATCTGTATGATTATTAAATGGTGTCGGATTTTCCGACATAATTCCCCAGGGGGCTGCTCACGGGTCGAAGTCCTAATTAGAACAGACGAACACCGATACTCCTCCTTCGAATTATTAGATTAATTTGATGTTAGTAGTTAGTAATCACACATTTGTGTGTCTGTTCGTACAGGACGGATGTCCCGTACTAGAGTTGCAGGGGTTAGAAGTCTAATGCGATTTCATTTCCCTGTCAACTCTTGAAAGGCTAATATTCAAGCCTAATTACATATTATTTAACCCAGAAGACTGGATGTGATCAAGTACTACAGTCAAGTATGATTCAGGGACTGCAGTGAGATCAGTGACATTAGATATAACTTGAAGTTTCTTCAGGTAACTGGTCACTGATATATAAACACTGAGGCCCATGGAATACATCTTGATTAAATAATAAATGTATCAAATCAGTCATCAGATTTATTAGGGTTTAATTTAGTTAATTGATTCAGAGGATTGAATAGCTCATCATTAAAGTAAAGTATGGTTCTGAGACTGCAGTGGGTTCAGTGACATTGGTCGCAGTGACTTGTAGCTGTTTAGGCTACTGTTCACTGATTTGCCACTGAGGCCTCATGAACTCATCTTCAGCTTTAAATGATGATACTAACATCAACCTCTGTTGGTATAGTCAGCTGTAATCTCCTTAGTATAATGCTACTGGAGAAATATAATCAGCTGACAAATTTAGATTTCTACTGGTATTGTTTATCTGCAGGCATAGGTCTCCTCAGGCTTGATACTGGGCCTGAGAGTAATTTACCTCCTGCAGAGTTTAACATGGTTATGCCCTGATATTTAGTAGGGCTACCGATGAATTGATGGTAGTAGTCTGTCCCCACAAGGACAGCCATTTGGCATTTGATTTGCTCAAATTTACCTGCAGCTGCTTGATAATAGCTTTCCAGGTCAGCATAATCAACTTGAGATTGTTGTGACAAATCTTCACATTTCTTGATCTGTCTTGTTAAGTGGCCTTTAAGACCTGCAAGGGTTCTTTTCATTCTCCCTGCATTATCCATACTGGCTAGTTGGTGAAGCCTTGTGGGACTTGTACTTGGGCTGCTCATAATACTGAACAAGCACTAATGGTAGCCTAGGGTAAATTCTGCACTCACTAGGCAATAATCCTACCTCTACTAGAGGTTAGCACTTAAAATTAATACACATTATATATATACAATCATACACACTAATGATTTGAGTGATAAACCAGTGTCACTGGAAGTACCTTTAGGTTAGCTCTTCTATATCACCCTAGGATGGTAGAGACACTAATTAATCACTCAAAGGTGTAATGATCATAAGTAAATTATTATATATACAACTCAACTCGAGTTGCTAAAAATTACACCCAAAATAGGGTCTGAACCATTCATTAATGGTGCTAGGTTAATCAATATAGTACAACTGACTATGGTAATAATGGGACTAGGATGAACAATAATAGTTCAACTAGTCATATCCTACCCTGTTGTGGGTTGGCAATTAGTAAATATTATACTGTGATCACTAGTGCAATATATATTAAATAATTCTCTATTTTGGAGAAATAATATACACAATTATTGATAATAGCCTCTTAATTAGCCTCTATGAAACTTCTAATATTATCTAGAAGTATTAAATATTATTAGTGACCTCGCGAAATAAAGTCCACAAAATTCGTAGATAATCTCTCGCGAAATGTAACACCACGAAATCCGTGAACAATCTCGCGAAGACACAGTCACTAATTTGGCTGGATTCTATATTAGCGCTGTCATTTCACGAAATAACACGCCACCAAATATCTGTGGGTGTGCATGAAACCGCTGACGAAGCTGAACTGGGCTGAGGGAGGCTCCTGAGCTCCCTCGAGGCTACGCTGCCGTCTTGACTGCTGGCTTTGTTTAAATAACACTGCACTAGTATATTTAATGAATCCACTGGTTAACTGGTTCATCCGGTACTAAGATGACCAAATGTGGGTTCATAGGACCGAATAATCCGGTTCGAAGGACCAAATAATGTGGGAACCGACCTGTGAGATTTATATTTATTTAATTTATATGAATTTATATTTACGTTAATTTATATACTTCGATAGCAATTTGTATAATGATAAGTGGACTGTATTTCTGCAATAATCTCATAATCTCACAAATCGATCCTCTACACATTAGGGGGGTTTATATTTATATATATGCAGCCAATCAAACTACAGTAATAGCTACATACATTGATGAGGTTCCTTATCTTATAGTACAGCAGGTTAGTCCACCAGGTATAACTAGGGTGTAGACACCAAATTATCCTCTTTGAGGTAGCTTCCATATCACCCAGTAACTGGTGCACAAATCTTGCATCCTCGTCTTGACCTGTCAAAAGTGCGCTAGCTGTGAAGCCAGATACCTATATATGACAAGTATATCAGAGAAAACAGTACATGGAACATGAAGACCTGGCTTAATTACCTTTAGTTTGAGGCTTCCATGTGATCTAACCGGGTCACCCTATATCCTGACATTAATGGCCATAAATGAATGATAAACGGGTTTCGGATAGACACTTAACTTGATTGTAGACATCGTGTTGGAGATGGTACCTTTGGTTTCCATAACACTACGTCCAAGTAAATTAACAGGAGCCGAATTTGCTCCCGTGTGAGCCTCTGGTCTCAATATAAACAATGGCTGTTTAACACTCCATCCTATTGACGTTACTGGCCGACATTGTCCAGAATGATAGGAGCTAAATTTGCTCCACACGTCTCGGAGGTGACACAACAATGGCTCCCTCCTTCCCCACTGACGCCTGGCCTACTTTGTCCAGATTTCAGAAAGTGATAGAAGGGTCACATTTACTCTACTTTAATATTGATAATTAAGTTAATTTATATAAGATGTTTTTATGATGGTAAAGTCCAAAGACTAATGTATTTAAGAATAATTCCCAGCAGAATAGCTGGTGAATTATAATAGTATGTGGTGATGATATCCCGTTTTCTATAGACGGTAATTCCACTACAAGTTACGTTTTCTATGGGTAACTTGTTGGTAATACAGCTATTATCTGTATGATATATTAAATGGTGTCGGATTTTCCGACACATGTCTCCTTCTCTTGTTTGTCTTCCCAGTGACGTGAAATTCAGTTCATTTAGCCTGTTCTCGGAGCTGATGACCCTCAGCCTGGGGAGCAGACAGAAGACACTATTGAACCCTTTCCAGCTTCGTTTAATGCCATGAAGACTGTCCCTGTGTTAACATATGTGGGCTTCTACGTGGAAATTGCTGAGGATTTAAATAGTTCTTCATAATACAAATTAAAAAGTTTTATTTGGATTTCAAGACAAATATACATTGCAACAAAATATACAGAATCTCATAGAGTTTAAAAGATAAATAAAGTCGGACATGTACTGACAGGCGGGCAGAGAAGACAGATAGACAGACAAACAGAGACAGAGAAGTATAAAGAGAGACGGAGAGAAAATCATCATGCATTTATTCCAGAAACGTCAAAAATATACATCAATAAGAAATTCACACCCGTAAATACACATTACTACAGCACGAACGCACTAACATACAGTGGTTCCCGACGAGACGGGGAGCCACACTTGCTAAACACGAAGGAATAACATATATAAGAATTAATTACATAAATACTGTTGATTTAGGAATTACAAGTTGTTTTCAGAATCTGGTAGGTGTTGCCAGTACCAGAGAACTGTTGCCAGTACTAAGAAACTGTTGCCAGTGCCAGGGAACTGTTATTGCCAGTACCAGAGAACTATTAGCATTTAATATGAATTAAATTTAATGGTAGATCTGGAAATATGTTAGAAATATTGAGAAATATAATTTAAATTTATACATCAATGAAATATAGCAGTATATTATCTTCTGGCAGCACATATTGTACTTTTATTATAAAATTGTATATAAAATTTGCTATAAATATATTAGAAGACTGAGGGGAGAGTGTCGTTAAGCACCACTGGGCTCTGCCGGGTTACGGGGAAGAAACATCGTGTTCAATATAACTTTACAATGTCCTCAAACTTCTGATCGAGAGAAAAAAAAATGTCCTGTAGGGTTTGTACTCTAGACTACGTAATCATGAATTAATCCGGCAAGACACTAGGGCTAACTAACCTATCAAAAATATATGTTTATCTTAGAGTCAGCACGAGTACTATCACAGCAGTTAATGTGTTCATCACACAGGTCCTGGAGGCACTGAGACTGACACTAGGTAAGGTGGATTTCCCACCGTAACTTTATTTTAAGTTTAGTGTTGTGAACGCACAAATCGATATACCTGTTGGGATTACTTCCTGGACGATGTAGACACGTGTTAACCCTTGCGCTGCTCAAATCACGCATCAATAACACTTTCTTGTTCCCAAGTACGAAAGAAAATAATCTGAAAATCTAATTTTATGATTTTATTTGTTCAAATGAGTTAAGAATAAAAAAGTAATAATACAAATTCTACTTTGGATCTATAGAATTTCATATGAATTAAATCTTGATATCGATCTCTGGACCTAATATTTTGATCAGTAGTTATCCCTTAATTGTAATTCATATTTAGTTATTACCCTTTAGTTTATGTCCCTAAGGAACCGCTGAGGTAAAATGCGTTTAGAGTTTGTTTCCGACACTGGAAAGGTTGGAGTATAATTTTTTATTTATATATAATGTTTATATGTAGTATGACAGGGTGCAGTTGCTTCTTATACACCAGCCTGTGTATGGTCTATGTATAACACTGATGAGTATGAGGAGAGAGCACTGGAGTGGCTACCAGTGTATGAGGTGTAAGGTAGCCAGGAAGCAGGTGAAGAGGACGGGGCCCTCCAGGGCTGGCATGTGGGCGCCATTAGTGGGCTTGTTGCCCCCGACGGGCAGGGACGCATACTCCCGGTAGTAGTTGTTGTAGTACCAGTCGATGACATTTGCCTCACTCGTAGAGAACTCTGACTCGTGGAGGAGCGGCTCCTGGGAGGTAGCGTCAGGCATGAGAGTCGCGGTCTCGGAGGGAAGGTCGACCTCATCCTCCGTGTCGGTCTCCAGCTGCCCAGGCTGGTAGACCCGCTCGATGGTTGGGTATCCGCCCCGCCCCATGCTCTTGCTCGGGCTGATGTAGGTGTTGTTAGGGGGCACGCGGGGCACGGAGCCCAGTAGTGGCTCGCCTGACTTGTCCACGGGGAAGACGACGCCTGGCCGTGACCTGGAGTGCGCTGTGGCGGCACCAGGCCGCTCCTGCATGGGGTGCCTCGAGAGGGACTCGTCATCTTGTAGCGGGGTTACAGAGTGCAAGACTAAAGGGGATACGACTGTGGGGAATTCGCTGCTGCTCTCTGACACTTCTCCGAGATGTTCACCGGAGGAAGACGAGGTTGACTTCCCGAGGAAGTCAGACGCGAGGTCTTCCCGCACGTCCTCACCCACCTGTGGCGGGAAGATGTCCTCCGGGAACAAATGTTTATCGGATGGAATGTGAGAGGTGGCGGTGGTGGAGGTCACAGCTGCAGGACGGTTAGTGGTGGTGCTCCTGGCGGTGGACACGGTTGTAGGGCGGCTGGTGGTGGTGGTGCTCCTGGTGGTGGACATGGTTGTAGGGCGGCTGGTGGTGGTGGTGCTCCTGGTGGTGGACATGGTTGTAGGGCGGCTGGTGGGGGTGGTGGTAGTGGAGTACTGTGGCGCTGGTGTAGGAGTGGAGGAGACGGAAGGGGACCTGATAGTCACGGCCGAGGGGGAGCCGGAGAGGTGAGCGTCGGGCGGAGTGTCCTCGAGCGCCGGGAAGCCTCCCTGGGAGAGGTCAGCACCTTCAGGGGGCTCTTGGTGCTGTTCTCGCTGTACTTCGTCCTCGGCGGCGTATAGCAGCCCCAGCAGGTCGCTCAGGGAGGTCTCAGACGCCTCTGGAGAGTCTGGGTCACGTGTGGGCGTGGCAGATGGTGGACGCGTGGGCGTGGCAGGTGGTGGACGCGTGGGCGTGGCAGGTGGTGGACGCGTGGGCGTGGCAGGTGGTGGATGCGTGGGCGTGGCAGGTGGTGGATGCGTGGGCGTGGCAGGTGGTGGACGCGTGGGCATAGCAGGTGGTGGACGGGTGGGTGTGGCAGGTGGTGGATGCGTGGGCGTGGCAGGTGGTGGACGCGTGGGCGTGGCAGGTGGTGGACGGGTGGGTGTGGCAGGTGGTGGATGCGTGGGCGTGGCAGGTGGTGGACGGGTGGGCGTGGCAGGTGGTGGATGTGTTGGGACGACTGATGCTTGGTGTGTGGGTGTGGCAAGTTCTGGGCCTGAGGGTGTGACAAGTAGTGGGTGAGTTGGCATAGCAAATACATGATGTGTGGGCGTGACAGATTCAGGACGTGTGGGTAAAGCAGACGGAGAGGGTGCTGGTGCAACAGGTGGAGGGCGTGTGGGTGCGGCTGGTAGAGGGCGCGCGGGCGTAGCAGGATGCCCTTCTAGTGCAGTGGTGGAAGCGTGTATTGTTTGCGAAGTCACCAGCTGAGAGTCGGAAGTCGTCGCAGGTAATGGAGGCCATGTTGGGGAAAAATTTGGCGTGACGTGTGGTGCGGCGTGTGAGGGTGGAGGGGCGTGTGAGGGTGGAGGGGCGTGTGGGGGTGGAGGATGCAGTACCATAGGATGATCTTTAGAAGAATTGCCATTTTGCTCATCGTTTGGGTATGGTGAAAAGTTGCTTAATTGAGTTTTGATGAGCGGGGGGTTGGCGACTAACGATGTCGGTGAGAATGATGATGGGACGGCGAGAGGGCGGGAGGCCGTGGCGGCCATGTCAGAGGACGACGGTGGCCGCTCGACGCCAGCTGCTGTGACCTCCAGCGACCCGTGTCCGAGCCCACCGCCTCCCAACTGACTCTCCGACGGCGACATGTCCGTCGCAGTGCTGGTGGCCGTCACCATGGCCATGGGCGGGACGGGGCCGGGTGGGCGGGTGGGCTGGTTAGGAGTCCAGCGGTGGGCGCCGGACATGTTTGGGGGATCTACGATGGTGATGGGATGGTTGGGGTCGTGTGGTTGGTATGGGAGAAACGGTTCGTTGGGCTGATAATGGGACACCCCAGAGTCAGGGTGGATGACGGCCGGGGGCGACCACCGCGGCACTGTGCCTCTCATGGCACCTGGTATCTTGGTGCCAGTGTCAGGAAGCTGCGGCAGGAAACCTCCGGAGGGTTGAGGCACTGTGGGTGTGAAATGTGAGGTAACCGAGGGCTGACGGTTGATAATGTTGGGTTGCCTGAGTCCGGTGTGAGATTGTTGATTACCGGAGACAGGCAGGAACGGGGTGTCAAAACTGGGTCCTGGGTGAGGGTGCATGACGGAGGGCAGCGCGGGCCTGGCGTGAGGGTGTATGGGGCTCTGTGCGGGCCCTGGGTGAGGCCTGTCTCCCCACACGTTGGTGGGGCGGCTGACAGGCACCACCACGCCAGGCACCCCCGGCCGGTGACGCTCTCCCTTCACCACGGGGAACACAAAGGGCACCCCGGGGCCCCTCACAGGCAGCCGAGGTATGGAGCCTCCCTTCGCCTGGTTCGCCACCTCGGCTGGTGGCGGGGGAGGCTTCATGGCCATAGACTGTCTAATTGGTGGTGGAGGGGAGGGGAAGAGAGGGTGTGGACTGGTGGGTCCATCAATCCAAATTGGTTGACTATTGTCAGGGCCCTTCATGGGCTTGTCGTCGTCCAGCGGCCCGAACTCAGACACGGCCCCTGTCTCATGGCGGCCTATGACTGGCAGGCCTGCCCAGTTGACGTTGAGGCCTATGTTGGGGAGCCTGAAGTTAGTGATGGTCTCCAGGATATTGGGAAGAGTGGGAAACATGAGACCGCTGAAGAGGCCAGTCTCGGTGGTAGTCTCATGCTTGTGGTCGTCCACTAGAGCGGTGCTGCTGCCGCTGCTGCTCCCTGACGACCCCGCGTAGATGGTGGGTGTGTCTCCCGTCACCGTGTGGATGCTCGACGACACCGTCCCCAGCTGCTGCTCCGCCTGCAACACACACCGTCACAACCATTAGGCTCACCTGCAGTCTCAGGTAGAAGTCATTATGATATTACATTCATGGGCTCACCTAAAAACCTACTTGACCCGTAAGACATAGCACCAGATTGGAATCTTAAGATCCAGAGGTTTGTAACAAGGCTAGTCCGCGAAATAAGAAAATTGAGATACGAAGACAGGCTAAGTAAACTCAATCTATCAAATCTGAAAGGGAGGATCAAAAGAGACATGATAACTACATACAAAATTCTTGTTTGGAATAGCTTAAATGAAGAGTATACTGAGAGCATGTTTAAATTTATAGAAAATAAGATATGGAAGTTAAAGACGCAAATGAGTAAAAAGACGTAAGGAAATACTAGTATGCTGTACGAGTAATCAAGTGTGATCATTGAAAGAAGTTGTGGAAGCCATCTCTATAAAACTCTTCAAGAACAGTTACGACGGCGAAAAAAAATCAAGAGAGTAAACATGCCAGTACAGAGAGCTGCAGCTAGTCCAAAGAGCAAGATCTCGCTCCCTGTACACGTAACCGCAAGGGCAGAGCAACGATAAGATCAGAGTTCTTATAGCATATTACACATTATCAAAGTATACAGTGTACACTGTCAATATATAATACGCGACAATCGCTCCGATTTTTCGTTTCTCTTCCCTTATAGCTGTGTATTTGTATAATAATTTTATTAAAAACTTTAGTCTTGGACTCTTGACGTACCTGTCGTGTCACGCAAGCTTCCATAGGAAACATTACGAAATAAAATAGTTATTTTGTATTAGAAAATAACGTATGAGTGTAGTCTCTACAATATATTTTATATATCGATAAAAAACGCCGGAAAATGTTGTGGTAATCAGACTTTGGCAGCAGTTTGTTTACTTTTGGGCCAATATGGCTGCACGCTCACTCAGGAAGTGACGTCTACTCTATTGTACCTAAATTAGTCTCACCAACTTGTCGCCAGGTTGCTGCCCAACCTGTTGTGTTCTCTGTGGAGAGGAATATAATTACAGGGGAAATTACGTTACAAGTGACAGGTAGATTCAAATGATAAGAAAAATAATGCAGAACATAGAATGATTTTAAATTTAAAATAAATGGAAAAAGAAATGCATATAAAAGAAGTTAAACTAGAGAATTAAATGGAATTAAAAAGTTATTAGAAAATTACATACAAATTATTAAAAAAAAGCGAGCACAAAAACTAATGTTGAAAATATATGAAATTATTAAAAGGTAATTAAAAAAATTAAATCGTTAGAAAGTTGCAATAAGCAAGGAGGGCAAGTTGACCTTGGCAGTCGTGCTGAGAGGTACAGCCGAGGCGCCCTGGGCGCTGACGGAGGTGGTGGTGGCAGCCGACGACACTGACGGGGTGGTAGTGGTGGTAGTGGTGGTGGTGGTGGTGCCTGCAGTGACTGGGCCAGTCGTGGCGGGGGAGATGAAGGCGGGCAGCTCGTGAACCAAGATGGGGTTGTTGTAGTCGAGGTAGGATGGCCCTATGCCGCCCTGGGAGGTGCCCTTGGTCAGGTTGGTGAGCCGGAACAAGGTGTTAGCTGCTCCAGGGTCAACAGCCTCGCCTGTAACACACAGAGTAGGGGGGCTATTACACACGCACACACACACACACAGAATGCTAGCAGAGTTATGATCGTACAGTAGGTAGTGTGTGACTCAGGACGAGTGAGGTAGTTTATGTGTGATTGGATAAAATCGAGTGTGTGTGTGACTCTGGAAGAGTTTCAGATACTATGTGAATCAGAATATCTGGTTGTGTGCGTGATTCAAGAAGTGTCACGTACTGTAGGTTAATGTGTGTATTGGAATCAGAAGAGTGTCCCCACCTCTACATATGCTTTACTCTTTCAGTTTTAACGTGCAGAGGAGAGAGGTTGGAGAGAAGACCGACCTGTTTCACCACCTGTGAAGAGCTGTGGGTCGAGGAACCTGGGTACACACACCTCCCCGTCTTCTGGAGTAGTTTCCCCTTCGCACAGGAAGGCCTGCGCTGGCACCTTTTGTGGCCATGGAACATCCACAGCAGCAACAGCAGAAGCAGCAACAGCAGGAGCAGCAACAGCAGGAGCAGCAGCAACAGCAGGAGCAGCAGCAACAGCAGGAGCAGCAACAGCAGGAGCAGCAGCAACAGCAGCACCACAATAGTCCAAGGTGAGTGGTGTTTTCGGTGGACGACACGAGGAAGTGGTGTATGGAAAATATAACATCAGAATTACATTTAAGAAGCAAAAACAAAAGTTTGTCATAATTACAAATCATCATCTTCATCGTTAATAAAGGCTTATCTCTACCAACATCAACATCATCTTGGTGAATGATAACATTGACACATTATAGCGGGCGGTTACAACTGGTTGACAAATGTACTTACTCAGCACCCCTCCCTCGCCTGCAGGTGGGGTCGTACCCTGGCCAATCCTGCTTCCAGGAGACGCCTTCCTGCCGGAGAGGTCGTGCCCTATACAGTTCCTTGCACAGTGAGGAATGTAAATACCTCACTGTGCACCCCATCACACCGAGGGATGGGGGTGCATCCCATCCCTCGATCGTCGTACCATTCCCATCACCGTGTATCGCGGTGATGGGAAGTTCATTGAACTATTTGGGTCTTACTTTTGTGATGGGTAGCCCTTGTACAGCAGGAGCCATTATTGGTGATGAAAGTCCCTTGTTCAGTGGAGGTCGTACCTTAGTGATGGGAAGTCCCTTGTACTGTGGAGGAGCAGCGCAGACAGGGACGCCCCTGAGGGAGTCCCCAAGGATAGCGGTGCGAGGCCCACGGTCGCCGTCAGGGTCCTCAGTCAGGGAGTCCCTCAGCCACACCAGATCGCAGTCGCACTGGAACGGGTTACCTAACACCCGAGAAAGAGAGAGAGAGATGCTCGATTATTGTATCCATTATGACCTTTGACCACCTTCCCACACTCTCTAACCTAGTGTGACCTTTGATCCCCTTTTCCACACACACTTTTACCTAGTGTGACCCCTTCCTCCTGTCTGTAACTAAGTGTGCACCCATTTCCATGTTATGTAACCTAATGTGATTTTTGACCCCTGTGTCTGTAATCTAGTGTGACCATTGACCGCCTCTTCTCCCCCTTTCATCTGACTTGTGACCCATCATGACCCTTGAAGACCCGTGACAACACCTGAGAGAGAGACTGACCACTCATGTCGAGGAGGGAGAGGCCGGTGATGGTGGCGCCCAGGGCCCGCAGGTGGAGGCGCCGGAGCTGGTTGTTGTGGAGAGTGAGGATCCTCAGGGCTCGCTGGCTGGCGAACGACCCCCCGGAGAGGCGGCATAGGTCGTTGTCGTGCAGCTGTGGACGACATCCAAACTGTAGTGGGCTGGGTGACGGGTGGTGGTGAAGGTGGATAATAGTGGTGGTGGAGATGAAAGTGGATAATGGTGGACGTTATGGTGGATAATGATGGTGGTAGGCGTAGTGGTGAAGAAGATGGATAATGGTAGTAGTGATGAAAGTAGATTGTGGCGTTGGTACTGACCATGAAAGTGGATAGTGGCGGAGATGAAGGCAGTGAATACTTAAATTATATCAAAGTGAGGAAGAAAATGACCACCGGGGAAGAGTGAATACAGTGAAGGGTGAGCAGGAGACAATAGACCAACACCCCTGTGCAGGATGGGTTACCACGCAGGGCGCTGTTGCAGGTACTACCCGTTCTGAAGGTACATGCAGTGAGTAGGTACCAAGGAGTTAGTCAGCTTATTGCGGAGTTGCATCCTGGGCGGGGTCAGCTAGCGGTTTGACCTTGGGACCTCGACATAAGCCTAACATGTGTATATATATACACACACTGGCTGCCTGTCCCCCGAATACAGTGATTGAGAGGTTTCCCAGCCCCCCCAGACCAATATTCATACATCCACCAGAGACATCCATTCCTAAAATTACGAAATCCAAAACTGATTCCTGGTAAACCAGGCACTAGCTATGATAATTAATACCTATAGTAATAAAGACAAGCTAAATCAATAAAGACATTTTGCAGTGATAATCTAACATTGCAATCACAGCGTTATTTTTATGTTATGAGAACGTTATTTTTACGTTATTTTATGTTATAACAGCATTTTTATGTTATAGCAGCGTTATTTTTATGTTAGAGCAACGTTATTTTTATGTTAGAGCAACGTTATTTTTATATTAGAGCAACGTTATTTTTATTATAGCAGCGTTATTTTTGTTAGAGCAAAATGTTTACATCATAACCACATTATTTATACGTTATAACAACATTATTTTTGTGTTACAACGACGTAATAACGTTGTGTGTATCCAGTTACCGTAATAAAAATAAAATAAAAAATTAGAGTCACGGTGCCCGTGATTACTGTGAAGACTATGAAGAAGGAAGAGTCTAAATTGTATTATAAATATTTCGCAGGTAAGATCTATGTCTTGTAAACAATCAGTAGTTGTGTGAGAATCCTTCAGAGCGATGCGTATCATAAATTGAAAGATTTGTAGCTTTATAGCACTTTTGATTGGAGAGATAAATGATGATCTTACCATTAACACTGTCAGCCGTTCCAGCCCATAGAAGCTGGAATCCTTGACTTCCAAGATATAATTCCAGCTAAGATCTAGGACGTCAAGGGTGACCAGTCTCCCCAGTGAGTCTTCTGGAATGTCCTGGAAGCCGTTGCGACTGAGGTTGATGAACTTGACTGCGGGCATGTTATGGAAGGCATGGGCGCCCATCTCTGTAATGGCATTGTCTTGCAACTCTAAGCTTCTGAGGGATGTCAGGTCTGTGAAAGCAAAATCCTTAATTATTGCAATCTGGTTCTTGCTCAGCTGCAACTCCTCTAAGGACTTTAAGGACTTGAAGGAATCAGGATTGAGCTCTACGAGATTGTTGTTCCTCATATCTAGTGTGATGAGAGAGTCGAGGTTGTGGAATGTTCCCACTTCAAAAGTTTGGAGGCCATTGTTGTCAAATTTAAGAATATCAAGATTTGGGAGCTCAACAAAGGAAGTGTTTTTTAGAATACTGATATAGTTATCACTGATGAAGAGACCTTGTAGAGAAGAGAGACCCATGACTGCCTCTCCGAGCTCAGTAAGGGAGTTATTGGTCAAGTCGAGAATCCTGAGGTGTTTGACGTTACTAAACGTATGGTGGCCTAGATCAGTGATGTAATTATGGCTGATGTTGAGTTTCTCCAGCAATTTAGTGGTGGAGAACATGTCGGGATGGAGATTTTGGATGTAGTTCACGCTAAGGTCAAGATCTCTTAAAACAACCATGTCCCGGAAAGCTGTTTGACTTAGAACCTGGATGTGATTGTTTGAGAGATCAAGATGCTCAACCATACGAAGGCCCTTGAGGTAGCCATCAAGGACTTGATTAATGGCGTTGCGATGGAGTTTGAGGACGTGGAGGGTAGAGAGCTTTCCCAGTGCCTCGGCAGGCAGGTCCTGCACCAGATTTGCTGAAAGGTCCAAGTAGCGTAACTTGGAAGTATCTTTAAAGGTTTCTGTGTCAATAGAAACAATTTGATTATGAGTGAGGTGCAGAAATTCCAGAGAGGTTAGACCCAGGAACAGCCCATCGTCCAGTGCCAGTAGTTCATTGAAGCTCAACTCTAGTTCGAACAACTCTCCAAGCCCCGCAAAGATATTCTTAGGAAGCTTCGATATACTGTTAAAAGACATGTTGAGATTTTTTAAGTAGGTGGAGCCGACAAAGGTATTCTCTGCCACATTTGTGATCACATTAAAGCTGAGGTCCAGACTGCTTAGTTGAGGCAGACCTTCCAACAGGTGAATATCTACCTTTTTAATTTCGTTGTGGGACAAATCCAGAACTCTCAACATCGGCAGATCCCACACTTGATCATCAAAATCACTCTGAATGAAATTATTACTCAAGTACAACTCCCTCAAATTGGGAAGTTCCTGGAATAATCCTTTTTGTAATTTTTCTATTTCATTGTGGTTAATTTTCAGAGCTTCTAATTTGAGATGCCCCTCAAAAACCTTTGGATTTTCGATTTTCAGATGATTATTGCTCAAATCTAGGCTCTTGAGGTTCGGAAGAGCTCGGACGATGTTTCTCATTTCGGTCATATATGTCAGATTGTTTTGAGCAATGTTTAGGTGTTCCATACCAAGAGACTCCGTGAAAATATCAGCATGGAACTCGTCCAGAAGATTTCCACTAAGATCTATTCTCCGCAATGATGGAAGCTTGAAGAAGGCACCCCGCTCTACCTTCGAGATTAAGTTTTGTCTCAAGTATATTATTTGCACAGTTGGCATATCAAAGAATGTCCCCTTTGCAAGTCCAACTATGAGGTTCCTGCTGAGATCGAATATCTTCAGTTCTCTCAACTCTCTGGCGGCGAGGACGGCCATGGCGGCGTCAGAGAGCTGATTACCTGCTAGTGACAGATGCTCCACAGTATTCAGAGTCCTGAAAGCTCTTGGATGAATCCAGTTGATGGCGTTATTGGAAAAATTTACCTCCTTCAGGTACACTAATCCTTCTAAGGCATTGCCTTCAATCTTTTTTAACTGGCTGTTGGCAATATGAACCTTTTTCATGTTGGGCATAAACCGGAAGGCGGCTGAAGGAATAGACGATACTTTAGAACCATCGATCTTTAAAAACTCCAGCTTGGAGAGGGAATATAATCTGGGTATTTGTAATATATCTGTGTTCTCCAGCACACAGGTTCTCAGGTTAGCTAGATTGTCTAGGGTGTCAAAGGGTAGGTCGTAGAGGCCGGGCTCCGAGATGTAGAGATGTTGTAGAGACGACTCGAGGCCCGCGAAGGCGTTGCGGGTAATGCCAACCATCTCGTTGTTGATGAGGAAGAGTTTGTTGATCTGTCAAGGGAGGAAAGACAGTAGTAAGTTTAACGACAACCTCCTCAAGGAATACAAATTTTTGGGTCATTGAATGATCGAACCTATGCATGTTCTAGCAAGAAGTGAAACACATTATTGGTTTAATTAAATACTGCTCTTTAAGATGTGACATGCTTTATGCCTAATACAATAAGTATTTACTAAGGAATACAAATAATATAAGCAGCTCCTGTAGATTCTTCAGAAGACGCAAAAGGTACTGACCTGTATGGACCCGAAGATCCTGCCGGGAAGAACGGGAATTCGGTTGCTGACCAGGTGAAGCTCTTCCACCCGCAGGACACGTTTCATCAGCGCCTCCATGGACGACACCACCACTTCTATCTCACTATTCTCACACCTGACGGAGGACGACGGTGGCACGATATGGAGATCCATATTAAGGTGATAGTGATGAGGTGTAACATGAAGAATCAAGTGATGGTGATCAAGCCAGGTATAGGCTGTGAAGGTGTTCAAACTTACGGTAATAAGAAAGGGAAGATAAATGAATCATAAAAATATGAACACCTCATAATATTGAACTTTAGAACTCGGTTGTTGTGTCTTATTTTATGCTTTCCTTAAAAATGCATCTTTTTTCTTGTGTGACATTCAGTCTGTCAAGGGATAGTAAAACAATGTTACTGAGGAAAGCAGTTGCAGAAATCTAATAATTAAAAGATACCTGAGAGCATTAACCTTAAGACACCAGCCTTAACAACAGAGGTTCATATCAACAAAGTAATATAAAAAACACATGTGAATCTAGTAAACTTAATAATAGCTTTCAAGAACTCTGTTAAGGAATCCTTCAAAATACTTTATAGAGTATGTTAGGCCAGTCATAGAATATGCAGCTCTGGCATGGAACCCATAAGTGGTACAGCAAATGAAAATAAAGGATGTCCAAAGATATGCCACGAGGCAAGTAACAGATGCGATATGATATGATTCCAACATACAAGATACTGAGGGGGGGAATATATAAGCACCTGGCTTACTGTCCCCGTCGAAGCCAATAGAGATGGTATCCCTCAGTGGTAACAAGGTGGAAACAAAAAGAGAACAAAGGTGGGATTTTAAAACAGATAAACCAGAGAACTGTGAGGAATTCATAACAAAACTCGGATGCAGTGACATGGGAAATAACTGGAATTAGCTTGAACCAAAAGTGTTAGAATCAACCACTGTCTTCGGCTTCAACAACATCTGTGACAAGAGGTCGTGAGCACCGAAAAGTAAAAATCCATTAAATACAAAGCAGGTTTACTTGAACAAATATATTATGTCAGGTTTACATGAGTTCTGGACGATGTTTAGGAATGAACTACAAGTTGTTTGGTCAGTGAAGTATTGTTGTGGCCTTAATAACCCTCCAGCGGTTGATAAAGACTTGAGCCCAACACTAAACCAAGCTAGACCTATAGATCTCTCTCCTAGTGGACACCACTATGTACACACACACACACAGCCTCAAAGTGCAGCTTACCAATGGATATAACAAGTACTCAGATACCTTTCACTTCCTGGTCAAAACAATGGCTGCTTACGTGATGTGGATCTCTGTTCCTCGCAAGTGACATACACAGGGCAACAGCTCGTCCTCCGGGGGGCAGGCTGGTGTCGGCTGCCTGTGTCCTGTCCTTCTGGCCGAGGAGAAGGCTGTGGCTTCCCCCAGCAGGAGTAGGAGTAATATGCAGGCGGCGGGAGACTCCATGGGCCACCCTGGGTCGCGAGCCGCCATTATCACCGCTCAAACTCCCGCCAAATCTGCGGAAAGTGAGCAAGGCTTAATGGATGGTTCTTGTTATGATAACATTATTTTCTATTGTTAGAAAATAATGTTTTATTTTAATTATTTTTAAAATAATGTTAAACAAAACTATTATTATTATTAATTTTCTCATGGTTTTAGTCTGCTCGACACTACGGCAGCTTATCACCTGAAATACACAACTTGCTGCTCTCACATTCTCAATAATGGTCCTACAAGTGCTGCAGCCATGGTTGTACATGCGCCCCAGGAAGTGCTATTATAAACCAATTTTATTTTGGTGTTGTTGCATATTTTCATTATATTTTAAATGTATGTCAACCATATGCCAAATTGTATCCAATTTGGCATAGGGTTGTCCTAGATTTTGTATACATTAGCATTTTAAGAGAACAGATTAATTAAACAGCAAAAAACGTTCTTATTTTATTTTATTTTAGGTCGCGTTTGTTAGAAAGTTTAGAACATTTGAGTATGTACTGTGAAAGGGAAGAATCAACAGCAACAAAGCCAGGACCCAGGTTACCTGGTTGGTTGACCAGGTAACATGTTGGGCAGGTTGTGTATCAGAGCTGAGTCGACCAGGCGGCGTCTGTGAAGAGTAGAAGCAGGAAAATTTTTTTTAGAAGACCAATCAATAGGATGATTAGAATCCCTAACATGACAGAAGAGAGCATTGTTTGTGTCTGCAGACTTAATACTTCTTTAGTGTTCCTTAAGTCTGTCATTTAGTGTATGGCCGTACACTGGTGACTTGTGATAGTTGGGAGTATTTTCTTCTTGATTTGCTCCTTAATTTGTGAAAATCTTGGAGGTATTTTAAGCTGTACAACAGGTAGAACAGCGGCAGTTATTGCTAGCGAGTACCTTTTCATTCCCATCTATGCCAATGTGACTTGGTATCAAATTTAGGGTGATTCACAGCCATAGACTGTGTGCTTCTTTTCCTATATGTAGGACTTCTGTGATGAGTTTTATATTATCTTGTACTGGCTGGATAACAATGCCTGGAGCGTACTGCTAGGAGGTCAGGTACATACACATAGGTGAGGGTGAGGAGTAAAGGTATAGGTAAATAACCTATACAAAGATTAGTCAGGTGTAGTGGGCCTTGGTGTCTTGGCAACGAGCAGTACAAGAGATAGAAGGAGTAGCTTCCCTCTCTTGTAGATTGTTTAGGTCCTCATCTAGTATCGTGCTTCAGTTTCTTATCCTTTTTCTGCTGGTGCAGTAGCGCAGCCAGATGGTTCCTTGTCTGCTGCAGCAGTAGCCCAGCCAGATGGTTCCTTGTGTCCTGGAGCAGTAGCCCAGCCAGATGGTTCCTTGTCTGCTGCAGCAGTAGCCCAGCCAGGTGGTTCCTTGTCTGCTGCAGCAGTAGCCCAGCCAGGTGGTTCCTTGTGTCCTGGAGCAGTAACCCAGCCAGGTGGTTCCTTGTCTGCTGCAGCAGTAGCCCAGCCAGGTGGTTCCTTGTCTGCTGCAGCAGTAGCCCAGCCAGGTGGTTCCTTGTGTCCTGGAGCAGTAACCCAGCCAGGTGGTTCCTTGTCTGCTGCAGCAGTAGCCCAGCCAGGTGGTTCCTTGTGTCCGTCGTCCCAGCTCTTAAGACTTCACCTTCAGTACCTGAGACTTACACTTTGATCAAGTCTTCCTACAGTTTTTTGCAAGCATGTTCTCATCCCCTTCAGCTTCGTGGCACCATACACGAGCCTCGCCGTGAAGGAGCCAGTCCCCAGATGATTCACCATCATCACACTCTCGAAGATGACTCTTCTAGTCAGTTTCCCTCACCTTAACAATCTCTCCCCTCACGATGACTCCACCTTCTACCACCCAGGCATTTCCTTGTCCAGTGAAGCAGATTTGTATTTTGTTCTTTAGGACTTCCGAGTGACGTCTTATGCAAGTGACGCATCTGAAAGAACGAATGCGCATGTAAGCGTGTCTGAAAATTATTATGTATTGCATCTACTGCTAGCAGTCTAGTGGTAAACCTGAGACATACCACAGAATTGATGGATTGATGAAGATTAAGCCACCCGAGAGGTGGCACGGGCATGAATAGCTCATAAGTGGTAGATTTTTTGGAGTGAATGTGATCGTTGGTCGTGAATGTGACATACCACAGGTTTATCTATGTAGAAAGATATGTAACTTCACTTATTTCGTTGTATGGGGTGTGCATGGAGACGGGCATCACTGTGACAACTATAGTTGTGAAAGTGAGGTGAGGTAACCCTTGGCTGGTGAGGCTGCTCTTCCCGCCAGAAGTGCGCTATGCTGCCGGAGTCGCTGCTCTGACCCGCTTGTGTCCGCCTCCTGCACACACGCCACGCTTCCTCACACATCTTGCCTCTCATATATTGGAGCACACGCCACTGAACCGGCACAACCGCCACTGGTAAGAGGAACTGACAAGTATTGTGGTAACAGCGCAGGAGTAATGAGACAACTAGAGGTGCTAGATGAAAGACTTCGGACCAGACAACTTATCACCATGGATGTGGCAAGAAGCGGAGGGGAAGTTGCCAGGCAGATGGAAGACGACATATATGTTAGCAGTATAAAATAAAGGAGTCAATCGGGAGGTGTTACGGGCTCACCATAGCCCGTGCTACTTTGGAATTTTTGTTCAGAGTAGCTGAATCTAAAACAACAACAGCAGGAGGTGTTTACGGTTATTCATGCCCGTGAAACCTCTTGGGTAGCTTAATCTTTATCAATCATCAATCAAGCAGGAGGTGTAACATTTCCGACCAGTGACACAGACAAGCATTTCCTGCAAAGTACTTCAACTGACCATTAGAATAATACCAGTAGAGCATGTAGAGAGTGTCAGGCGTAAAGCCAGCACCCAGCATAACCGTGGTCATGGGAAATCAGCTTACAGGTTCCAGAAGATGAGAGGAACTCTCTAAACTGGAAAACTGCCCGCCAGACCACTGGAACATTATCTAAGACAGTGTAGAGTTACAAAGCCAATATGAGTGAAACTGGGATTTAACAGAGCAGAAGTTGTTAAACACATTTGACATAATCTTACTGAAGCGAACATACGAGTCATATATATACTCATACTCGGCCTGAGTAAGACAGAAACGAGTAACAGTTAGTGGGCCAGCCAAAGGCGTGGGGCCCGCGCACCGAATATCCGTAACAAAATAACTTTTGGGAAGGGAAAGTGTGGGTATAAGTAATGTACTGGAGCCCTATAGAACTAATTGATAACAATAAGATATAACCGAGAAGGATGGGCACAAGAGGCAACATTTGTACACTACCTGCCAAAAAGTCTTTGTCAGTTCCATATAAAAGAACACTAAACGACACAAATCAACATAAAATAGTACTTTCATAATTCATAACAAATTATGAATAAAAATTATTACTTAGAGCCCTTGTAGTGATAACTGCGTAATTTTTAAATACTTTGTAATGATTGTAAAAAAAATTATATATATATATATATATATATGTCGTACCTAGTAGCCAGAACGCACTTCTCAGCTTACTATGCAAGGCCAAATTTGCCTAATAAGCCAAGTTCTCCTGAATTATTATATTTTCTCTAATTTTTTTCTTATGAAATGATAAAGCTACCCATTTCATTATGTATGAGGTCATTTTTTTTTATTGGAGTTAAAATTAACGTAGATATATGACCAAACCTAACCAACCCTACTTAACCTAACCTAACCTATCTTTATAGGTTAGGTTAGGTTAGGTACCCGAAAAAGTTAGGTTAGGTTAGGTTAGGTAGGTTAGGTAGTCGAAAAACAATTAATTCATGAAAACTTGGCTTATTAGGCAAATCGGGCCTTGCATATTAGGCTGAGAAGTGCGTTCTGGCTACTAGGTACGATATATATATATATATATATATATATATATATATATATATATATATATATATATATATATATATATATATATATATATATATATATATATATATAATATATGCCACCCCCCGCACGTTTAGCATGATGATGGAGGGTGTGGAACGCGTGTTTTGGTGCGTCATTTGGATAGGTGCTTATGTAAGAGGTTACGCCTGGCATCGCTGCCACCTCATGACCACGCCTGGCATCGCTGCCACCTCATGACCACGCCTGGCATCGCTGCCACCTCATGACCACGCCTGGCAGCGCCGCCACCTCATGACCACGCCTGGCAGCGCCGCCACCTCCAGACCACGCCTGGCAGCGCCGCCACCTCCAGACCACGCCTGGCAGCGCCGCCACCTCCAGACCACGCCTGGCAGCGCCGCTACCTCCAGACCACGCCTGGCAGCGCCGCCACCTCATGACCACGCCTGGCAGCGCCGCCACCTCCAGACCACGCCTGGCAGCGCCGCCACCTCATGACCACGCCTGGCAACGCCGCCACCTCCAGACCACGCCTGGCAGCGCCGCCACCTCCAGACAGATTGTATTTTGTCTAGCTGTGACCACAGCTAGACAAAATACAATCTGCACTCTTTTTGACTTCATCTATTCTTCTATTTTTTTTAATATAAATATATAAAAATAAACAATCCCGACGAGGAGTCGTTGTTACAGTTCTGAATTCGGTCCAATACATATGGAGTTAAAAGTTAACAGGGAACACTTACCTCGCCAATCCTCCAACATTTAGACGGAGTGTTGCCCGAAACGCTGTTCGCGTTAGTGGCTTTGCAACAATATCAGAATGTTATATACTCTCACAACCCAATGTTCCTTCTTTTATATAAATAATTAAATCCGTTTACCAACTGTGAGCGCCATCTGTGGCCATGGTGGCAAGTTAAGCTCGTGCCTTGAGGGTGATTTGCACTCCTTCAGTGATCTCTCGACCTCGACGGGAGGATCTGCATCCCACCCATCCCACACACACAAAGCCAAAACCTTGGAAGAGCAGAAAAGCAACAATAGAAGTGTTTGAAAAAATATAGTGACTGCACTCACGGTGCTT